GTCCAGCGACATAGCCATTACGCTAACTGTCGATCCCATGGTACATAACATTTTTAACGTGTAATTAGATACAATTTCCTAGTATCTTGTTGAGAATTTTTGTGTCTATATTCATCCAAGATATTGGTCTTTAGATTGTTGTTGTTGTTGTTGTTATGTCCTTGTCTGTTTTGGGGATGAGGTTAGTGGAGGATTCATAAACCTAATTTGGGAAGATTCTTTCCTTTTGGATCTTTAGAAATAGTTTGATTTTTAGCTCTTTAAAAAGTTTTGTAGAATTCTGAAGTTAAGCCTTTAGGAGGGACCTGGGATTTTTTTTTCCCAGGGGGAGGTTATTTATCACTAACTCCTTTTTATTGCTTGTTATTGGTTTATTCAGGCTTTCTGTGTCTTCCTGATTCAGTCTTTGTAGCTTATATGTGTCCATAAATTTGTTCATCTCATATAGATTTTCTTGTTTCTTGGTCTACAATTGTTCATAATATTCTCTAATGATCTTTTGTATTTCTCTTATGTCTGTTATAATATTACTGCCTATTTCATTTCAAATTTGGTTTATCTAGTTTCTTTCACTCTTCTTAAGTAGGCCATTTCAAATTTGGTTTATCTAGTTTCTTTCTCTCTTCTTGACTAGTCTAGTTAACAGTATATCAATTTTTATTTATCTTCTCAAAGAACCAGCTTTTGGTTTCATATTTTTTCTATATAGTTCATTTATTCTCAATTGCATTTATTTTTACTTAAATGTTTATTATTTCTTTCTCTTGGAGTGTTTTGAGTTTGTTGTTGCTGTTGTTGTTGTTGCTTTTGTTCCCTGAAGTGTGTTATTAGGTTTTCTGTTTGCCACCTTTCCATTTTTTTCTGCTATAGGGCGGGCGCCACCACGCCCCTCCATTTTTTTCTTATGTACACTAATTGTTTTGAACTTCCCTCATGCTTTTGATTTGTCCTGTAGAGTATGGAAATTCATGCACTCATTTTCATTGGTTTCAATGAATCTGTTTTTATTTCAGTCTTAATTTCTTCAGTGTTTGTGATGTTATTTGGGAGTAGGTTTAGTTTCCATTTGTTTGTGCATTTTATAGGGATTTTTAAAAAATTAATTTCCTCATGGTCAGAGAAGATATTGGATATAGTTTCTATGCTTTTGAATTTGTAAAGGCTTGTTTTGTCCACTCTAATGTGGCCAGTATTTGAAAAGGTTCTATGTGTGGGTGAGACAAATGTATATTTTGTGGTTGTTAAGTAGAAAGGTCTATGGATGTCTGTCAAGTCTATTTCATTTATGGTGTTGTTTAGATCCTGCTTATTTTTTCTCTAGATGATCTGTTAAAAAGAGATAGTGGGGTATTAAGATTGCCAATTATTAGTGTGTTGCAGTCTCTCTCCCATTAGATATAACAGTCTTTTTTTTTTTTTCAAACATATTTGGGTGCTCTCAAGTTGGATGCATAGATATTTGTAAGTGTTATATCTTTTTAGTGAATTAGCTCTTTTAGTACTGTATCATGTCTTTCTTTTGCTTTTCTTACAGTTTTGTCTTAAAGCCTATTTTGCCTGATATCAGCATCACAACTCTGGCCTTTTATTGATTTCCATTTGCGTGGAATATCTTTTCCCAGCCTTTAACTTTTAGTCTATGTGTCTACACATTTTGTGTAGGCAGAGGGTTTCTGTTTTTATATCCACTTAGCCAGTCAGTGTCATTTGATTGGAGAATTTATTCTGTTAACTTTATTATTGATATTTGTGGTCTTGTCCTTATCAATTTGTTAGCCATTTTTTCGGTTGTTTTGTGTTCTCTTACTTCTGTCTGTGTCTCTTTAGTTTCCTTGATAAAGTACTCCGTTGAGTACTTCTTGAAGAGCTGATCTAATATTGGTCAATTTTTTCAGTTTCTGTTTGTCTGAGAATGATTTTTATTTGTTCTTCCCATTTGAAGGATAATCTTGCCAAGTATAGTATTCTTGGTTGAAATTGTTTTTCTTCAGTATTTTAAATACATCTTTTCATTCTTTTCTTACCTGCATTGCTTCATTTAAGACATCTGATGTTAGCGAGATAGGGTAACCTTTATAAGTGATTTGATTTTTCTCTGTTATCATTTTTAGAATCTTGTCTTTGTGATTTTTACCAATCTGGCTACAACGTGCCATGGAGACAAGCTTATGTTGGTTCATTTGGGGCCCTTTGTATTTCTTGGGTCTGGATGTCTGAATGCTTCTCTAGGTTTGTAAAGTTTTCTGCAAGTATCTCAAGGAATAGATCTTCTATGCCTTCTATGTCTAATTATTCACCTTCTGGAATACCTATTATTTTGATATCTGAGCATTTGATAGTATCTAATATTTTCCATATGTTGTCCTCATTTTTAAATTTTATTTTATATCATTTTTGGTAGTTTTATCTAAGTCAAAGCTTTCATCTTCCTGTTCAGAGATTCTGTCTTCTGTGTGGTCCAGACTGCTATTAATTATTTCTAGGAAGGTCTTGATTTTCTGTATTACTGTCTTCATGTCTTTTTTACTATAGGGCACATGTGCTCACCAGAAAGACAGAGAGACAGAAAGCAAGAAAGCACCCCCTGGGTGGATGGCCATGCCACAATCCCTTCTCCTCTATTCTCCTCTCAGGATCTTGGGCACACATGCACACACACCTGGCATGAGTTTAAGTCACCAGGTCTGGGACTCGAACTGCGGTCGACTATATGGGAGTCCAGTGACATAGCCATTATACAAACTGCTGGTCCCTGGTTGGTTCTTTTTTATGGTGTCTATCTCCTCCTTCAAATCCTTAAAAGACTTCCTCATCTCTGTCACCATGAATGTTCTGAATGTTATTTCTGACATTATGGCAAATTCTTTTGTGCTGTCTATGGTTGAAGAAGAGTTGCTCTGTTCCATTGAGGAAGAGGTGTTTCCTTGTTTTCTCCTATTTCTTGTCCCTCTTCACAGATTTCTGGTCATCTGGTGGATTATATATTTCTTATTACTTTTCTGGTGTCAATTTTATAATGTCAGGGGGAAGAAGAGCTCTATTTCTCAGATGTGTTCTTGATATAGGGTCTTGTTGTCCAGTCAAAGTGTGTATATAGCCAGGCTTACGTGCTGATTACTTTCCCAGTCTCTTAGGACCAGATGCACCTGGGGCTGAGCTGAAGAGTTTTAACTGGGGGAGGGAGTAGGAGTTACATTGCATACTGTGCAGTTCAGAAAACTATGAAGTCTCAAAATATTCCTGGGTGAGCAGAGGCAGCTAGAGGTCTAAGGAGAACTTCCTGCCTCAGTTGGTCTCACTGACTGCCGCTGCTCCCTGCTCTGCAGTGCAGGCTCCAGGGATAATGGCAGCGAAGAGAAGTGGGAGGAGTCTGTGATGTACCTGGGTTAGTTGGAGGGCAGTAAGAAGCCTGAGGTGGTCCCCTGCCTCCGTTGGTCTCACTAACTGCCACTGCTCCTTGCTCTGCAGCACAAGTTCCAGGGGGTAGTGATTGATTCCATCTCTTAGCTACTGTGAATATTGTTGTAATAAATTTTGGAGAGCAGATATTTCTATGACATATTGATTTTTTTTTTCTTTTGGATATCTGCCTAGTAGTTTTATTGCTGGATCATATGGCAGTTATATTTCTAGTTTTCTGTGGAACCTCCACACAGTTTTTTGACAAGGGCACCAAGAACATTCATTGGAGAAAGGACACTCTCTTCAACAAATGGTGCTAGAAAAACTGGACAGCCATATGCAGACTAAAGAAACTATAACTATATCTCTCACTGTATAGAAAAATGAACTCAAAATGAATTAAAGACTTTAATATAAAACCAAAAAGTAAGAAAGTATTAGAAGAAAATACAGGGGAAATGCTTCATAGCATTGGTTTGGACATAGAGTTTTTCAATAAGACCTTAAAAGCACAGACAACAAAAGGCAAAAATAGACAAATGAGGTTATATCAAGCTTTAAAAGTGTATGCGCGGCAAAGGGAACAATTAACAAAGTGAGGAAACAATCTGCAGAAAGAGAGAAAATACTTGCAAACTATATATTTGACATGAGATTAATAATCAAGAAATAAAAGGAACTCAAATGATTTTTCAATAAGACCTTAAAAGCACAGACAACAAAAGGCAAAAATAGACAAATGAGGTTATATCAAGCTTTAAAAGTGTATGCGCGGCAAAGGGAACAATTAACAAAGTGAGGAAACAATCTGCAGAAAGAGAGAAAATACTTGCAAACTATATATTTGACATGAGATTAATAATCAAGAAATAAAAGGAACTCAAATGACTCAGCAGCAGCAAAAAAAAAAAAAAAAAAAAGAAAAGAAGAAAAAAAAAAAGAAAGAAAGAAAGAAAAAACAAAAACTCACAGTCCCCTCTAATTAAAAAATGGGCAACTGGTATGAATAAACATTTCTCAAAAGAAAACATACAAATGTTCAACAAGCATATTTTAAAAATGCACATCACTAATCATCAGGGAAATGCAAATCAAAACCACAATGAGGTATCATCTTACTCCAGTTATAATGACTATTCAAAAACACAAAACAAATGCTAGTAAGGATGTGGAGAAAAAGTCTTAGCTCTTTAATTTATCAAATGGGAATAACAGAATCAGAATAAGACTAGGAATGTGATAACTCCTTAATAATGTTTATCATAATTATTATTTTGAAAAATTTGACAGAGAACACGTGTGCTCACCAGAGAGAGACAGAGAGGGAGAGAGAAAGAGAGAGATAGCAAGCACCCACATGCACATGGTCATGCCACAATCTCTTCATTTCCATTTCCCTACCCTTCAGGATTTTGGACACATAAGCTCTCTTAGAGGCATGATAATGTTTCAAAAGTTCATTGAGGAATCAGTAGATGGCGTAATGTATACGCCACTGGACTCTCACATAGTAGACAGTGGTTTGAGTCCCAGACCTAGTAGCTTAAAACTCATGTTGGGCTCATGGGCGTGTGTGGCCAAGATCCTGAGAGGAGGCCATGGAGTTTTCTGGGAAAGGTAAAGACAGACGCGCATGACCTGTTTCGCCGGCTGGGCCAGGGGCCAAGTTTAACGTGAGACGCTTCTCCGCAGATGCAGTCTGATTACAGGTAGGAAAAAGGAAATATAACTTTGATTCATCAGAGGTGCTGCAGAGATTAGACCTTTTTGGAAACAAGAAATCTGTCCCAGTTGAGAGTGGAGCACCAAAAACACATCAAGAGGTCCAAAATGAAGTCGAGAAAGAAGAGCGCCTGACTGCAGGGAAGGAGGAGCAGAATAAAAGGAAAAGGAAGAAAAAGAAGATGACTTCAGAAGATACTGTTGAAGAAGAAGGCACTATGGGGCCGGCAGGTGGCATGGTGGTTAAGGATGCTGGACTCCTACATGGCCGATTACAGTTCAAGTCCTGGACATGTGGCTAGCTTTCTCACTTTCTCTGTCTCTCTCTCTCTCTCACTCACTCTGTTGTCCCTCTCTTGTCAAATTAAAATAAATAAATAAATAAATATATAAAGTTAAATAAAATCATTTTAAAAAGGAAGAAGAAGAAGGCACTACTATACAGTGGATGTCATCTGTGGAAGCAAAGATCGAAGATAAAACAGTTAAAGGAGAACATAAACTGACTTCAGGAAAGTAGGAACATCACAGACAGGAAAAGATAAACTTCGTCCA